CTCCAAGGGTTTTCAAGTTATGTTCCGGACAAAGTTCAAGTTCAAAGTATTAAAATAAACAAAGGGCAATAACTCCAAAATTAGGACAAAAAGAGTTATTGTTCTTATGCACTGCACATCTACGCATTGAGATCTATTCACCTACAAAGTTTCATGTTGATATCTCTTATAGTTTTAGAGTTATGCCCCGGACAAGATTTTTCTATAAGGGGAGATAATTCAAAAACCAGGCAAAAAAGAGTTATGGTTCTTTGACACTGCACCCCCCCTCAATGCCCTCTACCACTGTATGAAGTTTCAACAAATTATCTCCAAGGGTTTTCAAGTTATGTTCCGGACAAAGTTCAAAGTATTAAAATTAACAAAGGGCAATAATTCCAAAATTAGGATGAAAAGAGTTATTGTTCTTATGCACTGCACATCTACCCATTGAGATCTATTCACCTACAAAGTTTCATGTTGATATCTCTTATAGCTTTAGAGTTATGCCCCGGACAAGATTTTTCTATAAGGGGAGATAATTCAAAAACCGGGCAAAATAGAGTTATGGTTCTTTGACACTGCACTCCCCCTCGATGCCCTCTACCACTGTATGAAGTTTCAACAAATTATCTCCAAGGGTTTTCAAGTTATGCTCCGGACAAGACAACGGACGGACAGACGGACAGACGGACGGACGGACGGACAGACGGACAAGGCGCCGACTATATGCTCCCCCGAAATTTTTCGGGGAGCATAAAAAAAGAGTGTTATATTTTTCAATTACTTCATCTTTCTACATAATTATTGTACATGTACTGGTATATATCTTTATTGAAAAAGGAAAAAATGAGATTTTTACTTTCCATCATTACAACAAGAATTTCTGTTTTACATTTTGCTGCAATTGTTAACAATTAAGTCTATCAATTGATAAATTTAACATCCTTTAACTTGATATTAATTATCAAAGCAGTGATATAAATTTGTCCATTCAATGAATCTTGTGATAATAAAAATTCATTAGAGATAATTTATGGATGAGTCATGCTTTGGTTCAAACCAAATACAAAAAAATAATGTTTTGTGACTCATGATTAAAAATAGCAAATGAAAGAAACCATTGAAATAATGTTTAACAAGTTAATAAATTGCTAAACCCTATATAAATAGTTAAATTTTCATCTTTGTTAATTGGCAAATAGTTAAATAAATTAATTTACAGTAAATGTAAAGATTCTTAAATCTACTTTATTTGTTTACAGTTGCCCATTATTTTAGGTTCCCATCAATATTGGATTTAAATAATTTAGAAAGGTATCTTACATTTTTTAAATAACCCACTGAATAAGATGATGTAAAGAATCGGCAATCTCCTGGATTAGACCCCTATGTATATTTCAGTAATAAAACTTGTATATAATACACTTATGAAAACGGAATGAGCCTTATATATACTCCTGGTTTAGACCCCGGGGTCTAATCCAGGATATAGCCAAAGAATCAATGCATCAATGCAATGTAATGTAACAGTGGATGATTCATCTTTACATCAGATATCATCATTGTGTTCATCATAGTGCTTATTTAATGGTAAATATGTGTACTAAAGAAACAGGTTTTGCATAATGATTATGAAAAAAGCATGTAGATCTATCAAATATATTTAACTTTCACTTTTAACTTTCAAAATGGCCTTGGCATTGCACCTGTATGACCACCTCTGAAAAAATAATGATTAAGAAAGTAGAAAAATAGTAAACTTACTGACTCTATATCGACCGGTTTTGGGAAGGGGTTTCTCTTTTTCCTTGGCGGTGATATTCTAATCTCAGGAGCAACGTGAAACATGTTAAATTAAATATATTTCAGCTTATTTTCATTATTCCAATCAAGGTCAATATTCAGCTGTCTGCTATAGACTGGATTTGGAATCGATATAATTTCGCTGAGCCAGTCCGTACTTGGACGAGTTCGATTGCAAACTCCGAGCACTACAGGGGAGATCACTGCGTGGGAGTGGTTCAAGGTACGACACCACTATTTATGTAAATTTGGCTCCTCTTAAATCGTGGTTTTAAAACCTTTGAAACCAAAAGAAAAACAATAAACTAAGGTACAAAAAATGTTACCAGCTGTCAGAGCTGCATTACTGGTACTGGTACTGCAGTACGTACTGCAGCGATTTTGCAAGTACTGGTACTGATACTGAATTACTCTTACAAAATTTTGCTACTACTGGTACTGGTACTGCATTACTGTCTTAAAAAGTGGTACTGCTACTGCATTACCCAGTACTTTTGGTTTTGATAAAAATTTAAAATAACATCAATTTTTCTCATAAAATAAAGCTGTAAATTACATTAACTATATTTTATTTTTGTGAAAAAGTAAGTTATCAAATCTAAAGATAATTTGCTGCAATATTCCTTCAAATGTTAACATAGTATTCATTAAAAAGACATTATAAAAAGCACCAACTTTAAGTAAAAATTAAATTAAGATAAACAGACTCAATAACTCTTTACCCTAAAATATCCTTATTAAATCTTTTATTACTTTGTATTTACTAGTAAAAGAGCAAAATAAACACTAATTAATTTCTTCTATTCTAAAAAATCCCATTTCAAGTGAAAAAAGTGATTGTTTAGCACCATAAAAAGTTGTTATTTACTTTGGTATAAATTGAACAGAGGTGTGAAGGTGTGAAAGGCAACAAAAGACTGTTGTGTTTTAAATGAAAGATGTTTGCATTGTATTTATACAGTTGACTGGTTACTAAACAATTTAGATATGACATGAATATATGTTGTAAATATTGTTTGTAAAAAGTATGTTAAAACTATAAAATTGTAAATATGTTATGTTAACTTTAAAGCAGCACGCCTCCAGATTCATCCTAATTTTCATGAAAATTTTGAAAATGTATTTAAAGGTAAAATATTGTTAAACGAACAAAGAAATTACTTGACACATTACAATCGGCACTTAAAATCCACGTAAATTACCAAAAAGAGGTCAAAACATGCATAAATAGCCCCTACTGCGTTAGTAACGCAGTATAAATATAGTGATAAATACTACAAAATACAGTCATTAATTGCACATAAGATATAAATTATCACTTGAATCTTTAATTTGTTTACTTTTCTCAAAGTTTTAGTAATTGTTTTCCAAGTTTGATTTTCTTGAAATATTTTTAGTCATCTGGAGGCATGCAGCTTTAAAGTAAATTATGATTTTATTTCTTTGCTGAATAATATTTGCAATTATTTGTTTGACACTGTATTTATTCAAACTTTGATGAATATATAAAAGTAATGGTACTGATACTTAATTACTTCACCAAAAAAAGTACTGGTACTGCAGTACCGAGCTAAAATCTAGTACTGGTACTGGTAATGGTACTGCATAATTTGCCAAGTACTGGTACTGGTACTTAAGTACTACACCCTTAGTACTGATGCAGCTCTGCCAGCTGTATTATGTCATCATTTAAATTGCAATAAGTGGTTATGTAATGCTGCAATATTACGTTTTCACTTTAAAAACAACTTAATTTTTTTATTGATCAGTATTTTTAAATATTCTAATTATCTTTACCTTTGTAATGCAAAATTATGTTTGCAAAGATTTAAATAGCGCAAAGAACATTTGAAATTCTAGACGTACGCACACATTGTATCAGACAATTATGATTTTTCTACAGAAATGAGTAGGCCTTATTTTAATACTGTTCTGTTTTACAATTTAAAATATACAGTATATATAGCCTGAAGCCGTAAATTTTGATTAAAAAAAATATATTTTTGAAATCATAAAAAAGCTATATATCTGGATAAAATATTTGTGATCTTTTGTTTTGATTTTGCTTTTGTATTGTTGTTTTTTGCTTATCTTTCCAGCATAACTCAAGCTAGCTGTTAAATGAGTTCAACTAATGACTTACATGTTTAATACCTTCTGTCTTTGTGTAGTCTGATAACCCATAGTCTTTCATATTTAAATTATATATAAAAAATGTATGTTTTTTTCAGTATTTTTATTTATTTATTTATTTAAATAATTCATTAAATTTTTAATTGTTTACTCGGTATATTATTGAACTTTAAGTAAATTTTTAGATACTAGACATTGCTAGTGATGTAGATTTGGGTAAACTATCATTTTTAGTTTTTTAGCATATGATTCGTTTTTATAAATATATCCTAAAATGTCTATTTTATGCATGTGATGTATATATATGTCTAATCATTTTTATTGTAGCTGTTTTATCTTTGTTGATCTTATACTTTATGTTATATACAGTCGGTTATAAAAGCTCCTAGAGCTTATGTTGTACTGTTGAAAACTTGCCGAATTGAAATAAAACTTATCTTATCTTATCTTATCTTAAAAACATGTACACTTCATACTATTATCGTATGATGACGATGTGACTTATTGGGTATGTAGACCTAGCTAATGTTTCTTCCACCAGCGTACACCTCTACTGAACACTAAGATACAAATAACTGCCCATTGAGGTGTCAAAAACATAGAATTTTCAGATCTTTTCTTACACACATGGCAATTTATGCAAATTACAACTCTGGACTTACTATAAACGTATTATTGTATGGATCCATATCTATGCTTTTTCACTAAACTTCTTTTTTTTTTTACTTTTGCCAGAGATGTACAGATAACGCGTATATCTTAAAGATGTTTTTATTGATCAGTATCTTTAAATATTCAAATTATCTTTACCTTTGTAATGCAAAACAGTTCACACCTAGATCTATATGTGAAAATATATTTCTCTGCTTTTGCTATGTACAGTAGACTTTTTAGAATTTAACGATTTTCAAATTCAAAGACTGAAAGAGAGCCATATAACCTGGGACATAAGATAACTTACTCGTAAAACAGAAGCATAAAATACTGCATTTTTTTTGCAGCATATATGTTTGTTCCTCTCTAAAAAACCTAAGGTTTAAAACTACAAAATTATATCGCAGTGTTCTATCACCAATCGAACTCACCTAACGAAGACTACAACAATGCATCAGAAAAATGTCTGCGCCCATGTTCAGTAGTTTTCAAGTAATTTGGGCATATTTTTGATTGTTTCTTACAGCTCTCTTTGTATTTTGCAAGATGGTTGAAATAAACGAACTAGTGACAGTAACAAGGTAACGTAACATTGTAACATACCTGTGAAAAATCTGTTGAACTATCGTTTTATGCTCTACAACAGACAGGCAGACATAAAAAGTTAATAAAGTTTCCTTTTAAAAGGAAAGGCTTGCACAGTTGTGCCTTCATCCCAACCCTTTAAAAAAAATTTTTTTTGTTTCAATTCATTATCACAATTTTTTTGAATTACGGTATTTGTATATCATAAACGGTTTATTTAGTTGTTGTTTTTTTTTGTTTTTGTTTTTTTTGAAAAACGAATATTTTTGTCAAAACGATTTGAAATCTATTCTCTATTGTATAAAACTAATTAAGAAAATGATCAATCGTAAAAATACTAACGTGGAGATCTATCTATACAAGTGTGCACATTTCATTTCCCCTTTTTCGCAGAGTAATCATTCGTTTGCTTTATAGACAAGTAAATGCACTAAAAGTAAAATACTTCGTTACGTGGTACCAATTAATAAGCATATATCAACTATGTTACACGATCACAAATACGATGCGCTATCTGTAGTTCAGCACGTGGCAAGGTTAATGATATGCATGAGCTATTTTTAGATTACCTCACCAAGAAGTTGAATTGCGTTCAGTAGATCTAAATATAACTCGATCATGCGTGATTTGGTAAGCAGGACCACCCTTTGAAGACTACTACAGTCACCATTCTCTATTGTATAAAACTAATACAGACAAAAAAAAAACAATTATAAAAGAAACTAACTTTTGCGTCTTGAAAAACAATTGAAACGGAACAATTTCCTTTATAATTTATTACGGTTTAAACCGATAAATCAAGTAAAAATAGAAATCCTATTTATATAAACAAACTGGGATTACGGAAGTAACTAAAATAGCTTAGATTTCCGTAATATAACTTCGTCTGATTCCGCGGTATGACGGAATCGCCCGAATTGTCACGATTGCAATCGGAACTACATCGGCTATTATCATTAATCCGAAGAGTGACGGAAAAGGCCCAAAAGTTGCGATTGGCACGATTGCAGCTGGTTTCCCGTTCAATCATGCACTAACAATTGGAAACAGGAAACCACCTTACCGGAACAAGTTATTCAAAACAAATGGCTTTAAATGAGTTTAAAATGTCAAGTTTTACTATAGACAATTCGGGCAATTGATTTTGAAACCCTTTTCAAATATGAGTATGATGATAAATACTAAATATAAACATAGAAATACAACTACATTCATTGGAATCTGGTAGAATGATTTGCACAGTTACAGTTTTAGGTCTAAGTGGATTTAGGTCTACAATTGACACATTTTTCAATAAGTATATATCAAGTATTGATAGAAAAAAATAGAAATATATCATTTGAATATTCTTTCAAAATATTTCTGGAACAAATGATAATATGAAAAAGGCAAAGCCTTAAAGCGAGCTCGATTTTCTTTTATCAATTTTCTTTTACCGTAAAATAGTTTAAAATAATCGTTCATTTTTATTTTACACAATCCGTTTTAAAATTGTCATTCGGTATTTTATACACTGCTTCCGTTTATTCTGGTTCCCATTTAAGTGCGCAGGACACCAGTCTACGCTTCCGTTTTCAATCAGAGAACATCCGTCATCGGCTTTTATCGTTATCTTGTAATTTGAAAAGTTGCGATGTGTCAATTCAGTACTTTGGACGAAAGTTTTCAAAACCATAACTATCTAGCAGCACGGGTTTATATTACAGGGATCGGACACTCCCAGTTAACCCTATATAAATGCTTATATATCTTGTCGTGCACCCGATAAAGGTACATCGATCGATAATTTACCGGCGCGAAGCGTAAATGCCCGTTCGCAACGGATACTTACTTTACAAAATACCATATATAGCTTTTTCATTTATTATCCGATTTTGGAAATTTAAAGTTTATTTTGAAGAAAAGTACTTGGTTAATTCAAATATCTAATTTATTTTTTAAAGGTACAGTTTATCTGTCCGCAACGACGGTTAAAAAATTATCTTGACGAAATCCGTGGTAAATTTACATTTTTTATATAAAAAGCAGGTATTTGAAATTTATTATTACGGTACCATAATATTTTCAGTTTCAAAACAAAATAGAAGCCGATGTAAGTTATTCACAGATGATCAAAGATGCAATATTTAAGATTTATTGGGTTATGTAGTCAAATTTATTAACGCACAATTGTTTTACGGGTAATGTATTCATACATGTGACATCCCGGCGGGATTTAAAAAAATCCCGATATTTCAACACTGATCCCGATTCCCGATATTACAACTTGAATTCCCGATATTTAAAAAAAAATCAACATAAAAAAAATCAAACACAGCACCTGTATCTAAAATGTAAACCGTGCCTCCGGGCATTGATTGTTATCTGTCCATATCCTAAATTATAGCGGATTAAATGTTGAGTCCCTAATTGACAGCAAGGTGACGTAATAAACAGTTCCAATACCCAAAGTTATTCTCACGTGTTTAACTTATCACGTGTCGTGTGTCAGTCAATTGACCTCTTTTTAGGTATTACACGCTACGTCATCAACACTACCCTGTAAATTTACATGTATGAATTCGGCTCAACCTTTGATTTTCTTTGATTAGTGCCGCACTGATAAAGATAAAAGGTGAGCAGAATCATTTAAAGGGGATCATTCAAAACCTGTTTAAGATGTCTAATTAACCTATTTTTAGTGAGTGGGTAATTTTTTGTTTTGTTTAGGAATTACACAATCATCGAGGCAAAAATGTGGATTAAATTAACGGAATGATTCTTGCATTTATTTTGAGTCTTCTACTTATGTTACGTTATTTAACTGTCATAGTCTTATGTTCATGAATAGTTGTTGCACATTTTCAAATAGCTTATGTTTAATTATTGAAAGACTGAAAAGAAATATAATTCTTCAAACTGAAAATAATGAAATGTGAAAGTGTCACTGTTTTAGAAATAGCCTGTATGACTACACTTATTTATTTATCTATTTATTTATTATATGCCCGAAAGAATTTCGGGCATATTATGTTATACCCCCGGGCGTCCGTCCGTCCGTCCGTCTGTCTATCCGTCCGTCCGTCTGTCCGTCCGTCCGTTAGCAATTTGGTTTCCGGAGCATAACTTAAGTTCCATTTGGCCCACAACATTCAAACTTCATAGGATGATTGTCCATATTGAGTAGAAGACCCCTATTGATTTTGGGGTCACAAGGTCAAAGGTCAAGCTCACTTTGACCCTAAAACTGAAAACAGTTTCCGGAGCATAACTTAAGTTCCATTTGGCCCACAGTGTTCAAACTTCATAGGATGATTGTCCATATTGGGTAGAAGACCCCTATTGATTTTGGGGTCACAAGGTCAAAGGTCAAGGTCACTATGACCTTAAAACTGATAACAGTTTCCGGAGCATAACTTAAGGTCCATTTGGCCGCCAGTGTTCAAACTTCATAGGATGCTAGTCCATTTTGGGTAGAAGACCCCTATTGATTTTGGGGTCACAAGGTCAAAGGTCAAGGTCACCATGACCTTAAAACTGAAAACAGTTTCCGGAGCATAACTTAAGTTCCATTTGGCCGACAGTGTTCAAACTTCATAGGATGATTGTCCATATTGGGTAGAAGACCCCTATTGATTTTGGGGTCACAAGGTCAAAGGTCAAGGTCACTATGACCTTAAAACTGAAAACAGTTGTCGGAACATAACTTAAGTTCTATTTGCCTGACAGTGTTCAAACTTCATAGGATGATTGTCCATATTGGGTAGGAGACCCCTATTGATTTTGGGGTCACAAGGTCAAAGGTCAAGGTCACTATTACTTTAAAACTGAAAAAAGTTTCCAGAGCATAACTTAAGGTCTATTTGTCCCACAATATTCAAACTTCAGAGGATTATTGTCCATATTGGGTAAAGACCCCTATTGATTTTGGGGTCACAATGTCAAAGGTCAAGGTCACTTTTACTTTAAAACTGAAAAAAGTTTCCAGAACATAACTTACTTTCTATTTGGCCCATAGTGTTGAAACTTCATAGGATGATTGTCCATATTGGGTAGAAGACCCCTATTGATTTTGGGGTCACACGGTCAAAGTTCAAGGTAGCTATTACCTCAAAACTAAAAACAGTTTCCAGAGCATAACTGAAGTTCCATTTGGCCCACAATATTCAAATTTTATAGGAGGATTGCTATTTGAAGGAGGTAATACTTTATTTAATTTATGTAATGTCTTACAAATGCTTCATCCTTAGAAAAGAAAAAAAACACTTTCTGGCATATAATGCTCCGCCTAGCGGTGCTCTTGTTTTTTTTGTGAAATAAATTAATATTGATCAACAAAAAAATCATAAAAAGTATAATCATTAAAGGATATCGAGGGTAATATAGATTCTTTGAACCAAATGTGCCAAACACGCATTGAAATTCAAGTTGAAATAAAAATCCAGTTTTGAGCCTCAAAATCCAGCTGAAAATCCAGATTTGGCCCATTTTATTTGTCACATGTATGTGTATTGCGACCTTTACACGTGAAGAAAATTTATTCATTTTTTAGTACAAAATATTGCCGAGATTGTCAATATTGCCATATTCATAGAATATTTAAATTGCATTCATCATTTATATCATTATTATTTTTTGTAAATCTGTTTTCAAATGTCGGTGCAGTGAAGTAGACAATCATCGTAACAGTAAAGTTCTCTCGTGTGGCTGTCTCGATTCCGGCCTTTTTAATGTCACTCGTATATTTTAATCCGTATATTTTAATTATTCTTTTTATTTGAATGCCTGTAGAAAGATATTTATTATACTTTTTAATGTAACGCTAGAAAAACAATAAAAATCTTTACAGTTTGAGTCAGTATTTTGCGAAATAAAAGTAACTGTTGATTATTTTTTACACATCGCTTAAATTTCTTTCAAGTTTAATTACGTTTGAAGGGGGGTAAGTGATAATTAAAAAACTTTATTTCCAAACTTTCATTACAAGGTTACATGTGATAATTGCAACACTCAATCTTCAAAAACAAATATAATTTGAATGTATATTTTGTATATGCGCGGTCTTTAACTACAGTCCATGGCATATGTGGTAAGAAAATGATTCTGAAGAGGATATATATATAAATACAATGTAAATCTATTTTCTTTATTAACATTTATAAATGAAATTGAAAATATACAACTAAATTTGTATAGTCCTTTCTCTGAAAAATAATGAAAATAAACATGTGATAAATAAATCATTTGACGTGAATTGTTTAGGATATCTATGAAAATATTATGTTTCAAAATAAAAAATAATATTATAAAACAGCTGTTCTCTATGCCAATAAAAGTTTCTTCCTTGCCAATCTAATGAATTCATCTATATAGGAATGCTTGTCTAGAATGATCTAAAAATATATTTAATACACTTATTAGTAGAATATTTACTATATTTATAAAATAAATTATACAGGTAATCAAATAAAAAATGTACAAATCATTTGGAAATAATTCTGAGAAATAAAGACACATTTAAAACATGAATTTCTTTAAAAGTTTTTTAGCAATCAAGAAACATTTTTTTGCAATGCCATCATTAAACCATGTAAAAAATAAATATCTTATTCTGTATCGCGGTAATAATTCGTGCTTGAAGTAAAAGGGCGGCAAAGTGTAGAGAGTATGCCTAAACAATAGGCGAATATTTTTTAAATTAGGTACTTTTTAACTAAGCATTGCAGCGTTCTATCAGCATATTTTCATATAATAATACTTTAGCGACACAAAATAATACTGTATCAATACATTCATATGTGTATAATTTTTCACAAAGCTGCAATAACACCACATACTTCGGTGAAAATCTGTCATATTTCGTACTCCGCACGTTCCGCCATCTCATTCTGTCAACCTTTATCCGATTCCGCGCATGCGCGCGACGGGACTTTAAGCTAAACGAAAGTGTCCGATCATTGTAATATAAATCCGTGCTAGCAGGTACTCCCAATACCGTAAAGCTCGCTTTGCTCGTCGAGCTCGCTACTAAATACTTTCAACATAAATAATATGAATAAGACAAAATTTTAAAGCCAACTCTTCGACAGACATTATAGTACATTATAATTTAAACCCATCAGGTATGAAGGTAAACAAACGTTTCACTATTTAGACGGTTCACACCTAGACATTTGACTACCAAATGGGAGTAAACTGTCTTCAAGACATTTCGCTCCCTTTTTATACCAAAATTATTCTGATACTTAATGATATACTTATATAGACCTTAAATTTAACAAGAGCTGCCGGTAGGACAGCAACGCTTGACTATTCTTAGTGCTTGATAGTAATTAAAAGAGCCTTGATAATGTAAAATTTTCTAAGTTAACAAAAAGGCAAAAATTTAAATGAGACATTAAATTGGATTTCCCTTTGATAATGAAAATTAATTTGTTGACTTTCCCAATAAACATCTTTAAAAAAATGGGAGAAAAATGTCCATACTATTGACAACGTTGGAGTGAAATGTCTATGTGTGAACAGTCTTGGGAGTGAAAGGTCTCAATAGTGAAATGTCTTGGGAGTGAAACGTCTGGCATTCAACCCATCGGCAGCTACTTATTTTATGTTTTCAAACATGTAGAACAATTTTTTTTTAGGGGGGGGGGGGGGGGGGGGGGGGGGGGAGGGAACCAGGACAACTATGATCAATATAACTTGACGAATTATTAAATTACAAGTAACAAATCCTAAACCTTGCCCACTATTAGAGAGGCAGTTTTCCCTCAACCCTTAGCTCAACACAGACCCATCTATAGGCTGATGATGGAAACCAAATTCGGGAAGGGAACAAGAGGTATCACTAAAATACGCAACAGAGATTATTTTGGCGGAAATATTGTTTGCAAAGCAGGCAAAACGTGTGCAACATGTAATTCATGAAAATAATAAATATTAAATTTATAAAACAGATTAACTAAGTGAAAAAAAGTATGTTTATTTTAAAACTATTCACAAATATTTGCAATAGGTTATTTTGAAGGATTCTGTGCCCGACGATTCTTCTCTTTTGCCTAGATTGTGTCCCATACCTAGATTCTAGGCAAATATGCAATCTTTTGTTAATTCAAGTAGTTTAGTCTTTTATAAATTTATAATAATCAATTTATTCATGACTATTATTTGATATTACAGACATATTTTCGCTATTAATTTGTAAAATAACAGACAGTTCGTCCTCAAAATCATTTGAACATTTTGCAATTCGCACCAATATTTAAATGGACATATTCTCGGCACATATTGTCTTGAATTTATTTTAAGTTTACCAATCACTTCAATTTCTGTTATTATCCAATTTATTTTGCTTCGACCAGACGTTTCATTCTAGTGTCGCAACAGACAAACATTTCCGAATTTCAGACACATACCAAGAACATGGGGAGAAATTTGATTAGTGTTTCGGATATTCAACTGTAATAGAGAACGATTTTCAATTCTGATTTTCTACATTACCTGTGACTGTTCACATCATTTGGCGGCGCCTTTGATGTGCAGCATCAACATTTAACTTGTACAAGATTGAAACATTTAAGATGATGCATGATAATGTTAATATAACATTTTGGAAACTTTATAAAGTTTCATAAAACTTACGTATATCGTATATGTACATTAAAGTGGCATTTATAATACTTGTTTTGTCTTTCTACTGTTTGTTCACTTTATTCCCTTTGATGGGCATAATGTCACTTTAATCTGGAGGTGTGGTGCTTTAATCTCAAAGCACACAAAAATAACAAATTTCAAATAGTTTATACATGTATACAGGATCTATAGATCTTTCATTGGTTGCCATATAATATAAAAAAAATTCAATCAAGTTTGAAAAATTGGTGTAAGCTTTAAAACAATATTTATAATATATATTAATAAGTTATTCCAATACATGTATAATGTACCAGTATATGTTCTAGAAGTAATGGTGGCACACTCATTGAACAGACTTTAGTCATTGCCGTTTATGTTTTTCTTGCCTTATGTTTTAAGGTTTCCAGATGGATTCAAGTTTGCTCTGATGATTCTGTATTTCCCAATCGGGGTGTTCCTCATTGTATGCAGAATTTTAATTGCCATACATACATACATTATTGTGTGTTTATTTCCGAGGGGTGCAGCTAGACGGTGAGTTAAACTAATTTTTGTTTTTATTCTCATTCATGGTTTACTACTACCCTAATATGCATGTCCCTCTTTGTTCATTTGAACCTGCTGGAATCCAAAAGTAATTAGCCTTGGCCTCCAGTACAGCGCCAGGCCAGGTCAGCTCCCACATCCATGACGAGGCATGAAATATTTTGGTTATTTCTAATGAAACTGAATACTTCTTTGCTACTTTGTATAAAAATTCAACTTAATAACTGATCTATGGCCGTTAAATATTATTTTTGAGGGGGAATTTTTTCGGTTTTAGGGGGGAAAAAATGCACTATTTTACTGGGGGAATGCCAGGGGCCCATATTGTAAAGCCACTTTTCATTGGATGATCATTACATTTATACAACCTATATACACTTCAGTTTATGAAGTAATTTTCATTTTACCTAAAATTATGGAATTTTATTGTACTATTTATTAATTCATTTGATTACATTTTGACAAATTATATGGTTATGCATTCTTTTGCAATATTATCTTCACCAAGCAGCTTGGGTAAGGTTAGTTCACAGATATTTGAGTTTTTTATACTGTAAAAATGTTTATACATTATGTTTATATGTTTATAACTAGCTTTATTGTTTACAATTACTAGGAATGTTTATATTAATGAGTCACGCTTGTGGTAATACATTGTAACTTAAGTATGGATTCAGTACTTACAACAAGTTGTATGATAACTTCCGCCACTTAAACTAGCTAAACAAATAATTCATTAAGTTAGTTAAAGCTTTGTGTCAGAAATGTTGGAAGTACCACAGACTTGAAAATAGTAACTTTATGTTATGTCAGAATTTATAAAACCATTTATAACAAAGAACACAGATCTGTTGTAGAATTTAAAAAAACAGTAGGTCATATTTTTATAGTCTTTAGAACCACAAATCTTTTGGAAATGTAGCTGAATAGGGCTCTCACATGACAAAAATCAACATGAATGTCAATATTGAATCTCAGCAATGTTTATCAATCAGACATGGTACATTGTGGAATCAAGTACATTTTTCATGGATTTGAATGTATTTCAGGCAGTTTGTGCGTGGCATGTTAGGAGTGTTGGGTATTCATATTTGGGTAGAAGAAGATCCGAGCCCGCAGCAGGAGACTCCAAAAGTTCTTGTAGCAAATTATACATCAGTCCTCGATCATATAGTCATTGATGTGGTCATCAGTCATTTTGTGGTAGGTTTGTTTACAGGAGAAAATTTACATGATTTTGGGAAATATGACCTATGGCTTTGCCCTTGGAATTGGGAATTTTAGCAGTGTTATGTTCAAAATTTGAATTTTTCATTTTGTTGCCCAGATGAAATATGATAAATATTGTCCATATCTATTGATGAATATAGCTACACATTTTACAACAATAACTTTCTTTGGCACATCAGATTCTGTTTTGATTGGGACATTGTCTAAGAATTGGGGAGAAAAGATATACATGTATATTCAAGTAGGAAAATGATGAGTTATACTGAAGAAACTGGATTATTTCTTGAATTTGAAATAATCTTAGAGGTCTATGAATTGCCGAACATGTGTCACACTGAAGCTAAGGTGTTTATCATGATTTTATGACCTGATAGTCTGATAGACCCGAATCTGTCCATTTATCTGAGAAAGGAGACTCGGGTAAACAATAGAAAGGGACTTAGTTTATACAAATTTATTTTAGTTTGTGTCAGAAGCTATAAACTTATTTAAACACTCTTAAAGCCATTCCTGTAACCAACCAGTTCTAAGCAATGAGTGTAAAAAATTGTAGCATAGGGAAACAACGTCTTGCCTCTTACAGGGTTTGAACCCATGTGGTCGGAAGTTCTTAGATTGCTAGTCTGCCATGTTAACCACTCAGTCATGTCACCACTGGTCTTTATACAGGTTCAAATAAGGTTTAAATAAAGGTTTATTGTATTTAAATTTCTAAGAATAGTCTAACAAACTTAAGTCACAAAAATGGCATTATATGCTTAAAATGAAAGAATGAGGATAAAAAAATATTTTGGAGAATAAATTGAAAATAGAGATTCTTATGTCCAGAGAGTATATAAAAGTCATTTTATGCTGTGTACTAGAAAAATATATTTTTTCCAATGTTTTACAAATACTTCCAGCCTTATCACAGTAATGTACCAAAAGTGTTCCAGTGGTTGCTAGGTTACAAAGACCTTACATCTCCACAAGGAAAACAACAATTTCTAGAGAATGTGAAGAAGTTTGTACAAGGTGAGCTACTTTGAAATTATGATTATAATTTTGTTTTAAAATATATTTTAAGGTAATCATATATTAAATTTATGTAATTTTTATGCCCCTGGGCATGCAGTAATTAAACCGTCCGTACATCCATCTGTCCGTATGAGGTTAACCTAAAACAGCAAGTTGGAGTTTTCTTAAGTACTACAATGTACCTATACCAATGGCTTCATACTTTACACACTTACCAGTCAACACAATGTACATGGTCTGGGCAAGTTACATAACTATGGCTTCCATTTTTAGCTCACCTGTCACTTTGTGACAGGGTGAGCTTTTGTGATCGCTTTTCGTCCGGCTTCCGTAAACTTTTACTTTAAATGACATCTCCTCATAAACCACTTAGCCAATTTCATCCAAACTTCACAGGAATGTTCCTTTGGTGGTCACCTTTGAAAATTGTTCAAAGAATTTAATTCCATGCAGAACTCTGGTTGCCATGGCAACCAAAAGAAATTTTTTTAAATATCTTCTAAAAAACCCAAAGAGCTAGAGCTTAGATATTTGGCATGAAACTTCTTCTATTGAGTATCTACCAAATTTGTTCAAATGAAAGCCCTTGGGTCAAAATTGGCCCGCCCCAGGGGGTCATTGATTTTCCCTATAATTATGTATATAGTAAAAACTTAAAAAAATCTTTTTTTAAAGAACCCAAAGAGCTAGAGCTAAGATATTTAGCATGAAACATCTTCTAATTGGTGTCTACCTAGTTTGTTGAAATTAGAGCCCTGGGTCAAAATTGGCCCGCCCCAGGGGGTCATTGATTTTCCCTATATGAATATAGTAAAAACTTAAAAATCTTCTTTTAAAGAACCCAAAGAGCTAGAGCTAAAATATTTAGCATGAAACATGTTCTAATGGATGTCTACCTAGTTTGTTCAAATAAGAGCCCTTGGTCAAAATTGACCCCACCCCGGGGGACATTGATTTTCCTTATATGTGTATAGCAAAAACTTAAAAATCTTTTTTGAAAATACCCAAATAGCTAGAGTGTAGATATTAAGCATGAAACATCTTCTAGTTAGTGTCTACAAAAATTGTTCAAATAAAAGCCCTGGGGTCAAAACTGGCCCTGCCCCAGTTGTGTAATTGTTTTTAAATATATGTGTAAAGAAAAAACTTAAAAAATTTTCTTTAAAAAAATTCAACGAGCTAGACCTTAGATGTTTAACATGAAACATCTTCTAATGGGTGTGTACCAAGTTTGTTCAAATAAAAGCCCTGGGGTTTAAACTGGCCCCGCTTAGGGGGGGGGGGGGGGGCTATATACAGGTGAGCGACTTCAGGGCCATCATGGCCCTCTTGTTACCAAGTTATTGCCATTTTCAGCACTTACAAAATGAATAATTGGTTAACCTAAAACTGCAAGTTGGATAAATCTTAAGTTCTATCTATACTAATAGCTTCATTATTACCACACTTACTTATCAATACAAAATACATGATATTGCCAAGTTATATAACTGTGTCATCCATATTTCCCAGTTATTTCCTTTTGTATCACTTTGAAAATAGGACCTTGTATGGTTAATGACTTCATTTATTTAATATTTTTGGCCGGGTTGCACAGGTGCAAACCCGGGTTATAGTATGGTGAATGTCGGGCGGATGGCGGGCGGGGAAAAAATTTTCGTAACAGTTTTCTCAACAACTACATATCACAGCCTCTTGATATTTGGTATACAGCATAAACACATGGTACCATACCGTGGGATTCGATTTCAGGTCTGTCGCTCATCCACTTCCTGTTTATCCACTTAGTTAAATTAGTTAGATTTTTTGACATTAATGGTCAATGGTAGGAAATTTTCGTAACAGTTTTCTCAGCAACTACTTTTCACAGCCTCTTGATATTTGGTATACAGCATAAACAAATGGTACCATACCGTGGGATTCGATTTCAGGTCTGTCGCTCATCCACTTCCTGTTTATCCACTTAGTTAAATTAGTTAGATTTTTTGACATTAATGGTAGGAAATTTTCGTAACAGTTTTCTCAGCAACTACTTTTCACAGCCTCTTGATATTTGGCATACAGCATTGACACATGGTCCCATACCGTGGGATTGGATTTCAGGTCTGTCGCTCATCCACTTCCTGTTTATCCACTTTGTTAAACTAGTTAGATTTTTCAACATTAATGGTCAATGGTAGGAAATTTTCGTAACAGTTTTCTCAGCAACTACTTATCACAGCCTCTTGATATTTGGCATACAGCATTGATACATGGTCCCATACTGTGGGATTTGATTTCAGGTCTGTTGCTCATCCACTTCCCGTTTATCCACTTAGTTAAATTAGTTAGATTTTTCGACATTAATGGTCAATGGTAGGAAATTTTTGTAACAGTTTTCTCAGCAACTACTTATCACAGCCTCTTGATATTTGGCATACAGCATTGACACATGGTTCAATACTGTGGGATTGGATTCAGGTCTGTCGCTCATCCACTTCCTGTTTATCCACTTAGTTAAATTAGTTAGATTTTTCGACATTAATTGTCAATGGTAGGAAATTTTCGTAACAGTTTTCTCAGCAACTACTTATCACAGTCTCTTGATATTTGGCATACAGCATTGACACATTGTCCCATACCGTGGGATTTGATTTCAGGTCTGTCGCTCATCCACTTCCCGTTTATCCACTTAGTTAAATTAGTTAGATTTTTCGACATTAATGGTCAATGGTAGGAAATTTTTGTAACAGTTTTCTCAGCAACTACTTATCACAGCCTCTTGATATTTGGCATACAGCATTGACACATGGTTCCATACTGTGGGATTGGATTTCAGGTCTGTCGCTCATCCACTTCCTGTTTATCCACTTAGTTAAATTAGTTAGATTTTTCGACATTAATGGTCAATGGTAGGAAATTTTCGTAACAGTTTTCTCAGCAACTACTTATCACAGTCTCTTGATATTTGGCATACAGCATTGACACATTGTCCCATACCGTGGGATTTGATTTCAGGTCTGTCGCTCATTCACTTCCTGTTTATCCACTTAGTTAAATTAGTTAGATTTTTCGACATTAATTGTCAATGGTAGGAAATTTTCGTAACAGTTTTCTCAGCAACTACTTATCACAGCCTCTTGATATTTGGCATGCAGCATTGACACAATTGGTCCCATACTGTGGGATTTGATTTCAAGTCTGCAGCTCATCCACTTCCTGTTCACTTTAATGGTCAATGGTAGGAAATTTTCGTAACATTTTTCTCAGAAACTACTAATCACAGCCTCTTGATATTTGGCATACATCATTGACACATGGTCCCATAATGTGGGATTCGATTTTAGGTGTGTAGCTAATCCACTTCCTGTTTACCAACTGAATTAAATTTTCGACATTAATGGTTCAATGGAAAAAATTTTTTGTAACATCACAGCCTCATGATATTTTGTGTACAAATGCAACCAGGCCTTTTCTGTCTTTGACCCATTTTTCATATTGGATAGGTGAATACCTTAAATGGTCCTCAAATTTTGTATGGAGAAAGGGTTCCCTAGGGTCAAGGTCACTGGTGTAAAAAACAAATTTAAACATTTTTGCTCATACCACGCCCGTTTAACTCACAACGAGTGTAAAATGTCCATCGGTAAAAAATGTTGTGAGCAACTTCCGTTCCTCATTGTGAGCACCCATCTATGACGTGTGACACGATAAACAAGATGAGTTTTTCATAGTTTTTGAAGATTACAGACATTTATGTAAAAATATCAGAATGCAGTTAGCTAGCGATGTGTTTTCCGAGTATGCACATGTAAAGATATTGCCTGTTGGTGGACAATTTGATGGAAATACCGTGCGATGCAGTCACTCGGGGTAGCTGGAAAACTGGAGACAACTTCTCTCCGGACCAAATTTAACATTGAAAACGTCCATTCTGGTGACGTTTTGTGCATTCTAACCTAAAACAGATGCCCACAAGTCTTCAGCGTAAATTATTACCTGAGAGTCTTCATAGAAACGAAGATATACCCTTTTTGCTTTAATCCTCCTTGTGAGCACCATTTTTACTGTTGGACATTTTACACTCGTTGTGAGTTAAACGGGCGTTCATACAGCCTTTATTTTTAAGTTGATGTCATTCATGTTTAATTAATACATACAGCGCAGGGAGGTTCTCTCCCTTTAAGTTTAGTTAGGGGCCATTTGGGTCAAGGTCACCGATGTTAAAAATATCTTTTTATACTTATACAGGTACATTAATTAACCTTATTCTATTGACAGATGTCTTCTATATTTGGTAGGAATATAAAAAAAAAAAATTTCTTCTGATGGAGTTAGGGGTCAGATGGGTCAAGGTCACCAGTGCTAAGATGGGTCAAGGTCACCAGTGCTAAAAATAGATTTTTACACTCATACAGCCTTTATTTATTGACAGATGTTTTTCATATTTAGTAGGAAGATAACTAGTATGGTATTCTTCTTTCTGATTAAGGTAGGGGTCTGTGGGTCAAGGTCACCAGTGCAAAAAATCTATTTTTTACAATTTTGCACATATAGCCTTTATTTATTGATAGAAGTATTTCATATTTGGTAAGAAGATAACTTAAATGGTATTCTTTCTTTGGATGGAATTAAGGGTCAGTTGGGTCAAGGTCATCAGTGCTAAAAATAGATTTTTACACTATTGCCCATACAGCCTTTATTTATTTGCAAATTAATTTCATATTGGTAGGAAGATAACTTACATGATAGTCTTCTTTTTGATTGAGGTAGGGGTGAGTGGGTTAAGGTCAAAGATTCCGAAGATAGATTTCTACATAATTGCTTATACAGCCATTATTTTTTGACTGATGTTTTTCTTTATATACTATGATATACTGATAAAAGCAACTATTGTTTATATTACAGAGCAAGAATTTCCTATTTTAATGCAGCCAGAAGGTGTTCCTACTAACAATAATCTCGGACTTCTCAAGTTTAACACACAAGCTTTTGAATTGGAATTACCTGTTCAGCCGGTATTTCATATACTTTTATTTCATATTATTATAAAACCTAGTCTGTTAGATTATAATTTGTTATATATAAGCATTTATATCATCCATATGGACATACCCTTCCTTGACCTTTAACTTTTTCAACCTTTACTTATCTGATTCAGCATACCCAAAATGTGTAAAATATACCAAGATACCACTTGTATAACAAAATGTCTCTGTCTCTAGCATCTTATAAAGGGCCAAATTCTAAAAATAAGTCCTCTAAAAATTCTTGCTTTAAGTTGAAACTTAATAATTTCAGCTATCTCTGGACCAAAACAGTCATCACTTCAGCTTGTCCTACCAAAGAGAAATAGGAAGAGTTTTTGTACTCAGCCTGGCATTGGCTCCGCAATCAAATATTGGAACTTCACCTGTGATTATTACTGTTGAGCACTGAGGAGGTTCTAGTGTGCTGTCTTACGAATAGCTCTTGTTTTTTGGGTTTTTTTTTTTTTTTCAGAAAATTTTAATATATGCAAACAGTGGAGACCATGATCAGACAGTGGAGATGTGCACTGGTAGCATTTGTAGAATCAGTTGCTTTATCATTATTGAATTGTGTTAATAATCTTAATGTTTTTGTTTATTTAAAATGAATGATATAATTACAGGTATCTGTTCATATGTCAAGGCTGTCATTTCCATGTGCATTGACAACTATAGATGGTCCTAGATGGACTGACGTACTCTGGTGTTTCTTCACACCTGTAACTGTATTTAAACTAAAGTAAGTTATCATGAAGATTGATGATCCTTAATTTGTGACATATATGTCCCTCCCAAATGTAGGTTTAAATTCTTTCAGGGACTTAAGTCTTAGATTAAAGAAGGTCCACTGAGGTCCAAACAAACTTAACACATAAAATTTGAAAATCTTATATCGATCAACTTGGGCACTTAAAATGGGAAATATGACAATTAAGAAATATACTCAAAATTATATTGAAAATCAATATTAAGTCTGATTGTTAGGCCAATTTATTTAATCTTATGTCATTTTTGTGTCGCCTCTACGGAGTAGTGGCGACATATAGGGATCACTTCTCCGTCGTCCGTCTGTCTGTCTGTCCGCACTCACAGGAGAGTAAGTATGTGGCTAGAGGGACAATAGGTAACTGTTCTTTCTCTTTGATGTCATTCATTCCGTAATGCTTTTATGTGGCTATTTTCTTTTGCGTGGCTAAAAAGAACAATAGAGAGAACAATAGAGTAGCCATAATTACTGTCCTGTGAGAACTTCCATCTGTCCATCCGTCCGTCACAAAACTTGTCCGGACTACTCCTCATAAACTACTGGTGCGATTTCATCCAAACTTTACAGGAATGATCAGTACCAAGTCTAGTTGTGCATATTGTCAGCATTTTCCGGTTCAATGATTTTTGTCAGAGTTATGGCCCTTTAATAATTTTTAATTCTAAAGTTTGTCCGAACTACTTCTCTTATACCACTAATGCAATTTCAATGAAACTTTACAGGATTGATCTGTAGCTCAAGTCCTTGCGCATATTGCACGGGTTTTCCGGTTGAATGATTTTTGGCCGAGTTATGGCCCTTTGATAAAAGGTGTTTTTTTCTGTGTGTTGCCAGATACACAAAAGCTTGTCCGGACTACTCCTCATAAACTACTGGTGCAATTTCATCCAAACTTTACAGGAATGATCAGTACCAAGTCTAGTTGTGCATATTGTCAGCATTTTCCGGTTCAATGATTTTTGTCAGAGTTATGGCCCTTTAATAATTTTTATTTTTAAAGTTTGTCCAGACTACTTCTCTTATACCACTTATGCAATTTCAATGAAACTTTACAGGATTGATCTGTAGCTCAAGTCCTTGCGCATATTGCACGGGTTTTCTGGTTGAATGATTTTTGGCCGAGTTATGGCCCTTTGATAAAAAGGTGTTTTTTTCTGTGTGTTGCCAGATACGCAAAAGCTTGTCCAGACTACTCCTCATAAACTACTGGTGCAATTTTATCCAAACTTTACAGGAATGATCAGTACCAAGTCTAGTTGTGCACTGTCCGTCTGTCTGTCCGTCTGTCACAAAATTTGTCCCAACATGAAATTGGCCATCATGAGGCGACACATGTGATTACTGATCGCTCTTGTATTCTTGACTCGAGTGAAACATTTTGTCGATTAATGCAAAAATGAACAGGTTGTATGTATGTCTTCATTAAATTGACCATGTTTTTATATGAAAATTTACCCATGTTATGTAAAATATATTTCATCATTATCAGAACACATCCTGTAATGAAGAAGGCAGAGGAAGAGACTGTGGAAGATTTCATAGAGAGAGTCCGGTCAGTTATAGCGGGTGCTTTAAACCTTGAGTTGACGGAATATACTGCCGCTGATATATATGAATATCGCAAAAAATTAAAATCGGTACCACAAGCTCAGCAAAGAGGTAAGGGATGAAGCTTCTTTGTCGCTAAATTTGAGCCTCTATAATAGCTGAAAACTGTTGTTGATTATAATGCAGCTTTCATGTGAATTATAGCTTACTTATCATTCAGTCAAGTAGAGTACCCATTAAGAGTAAAAAAAATGCTGAGAGAGTTACGTTTGGTCTTCATTGACCATTAAAGCTAAAAGTTCCCATATAACCTTTAACTATGTGACTTAAAACTCAACAGATATTTTCTTTCTTTCCATCTGTATTGACTGATAGAAATGTATATACATAGTGGTATTTTGGTAAAATTGGTTTCTTATCATTAAAGCCAAACAACCTGCTCAAACAAGCCAAAACATCACAGGTGGAAACAATTCAGGAAGTTGTTTTGATAGTGTTGATGCTGAGTTATGCAAAATGGTTCAACAAGTGAAGGATGTATTGCCACAAGTTCCTGTTACAGCTGTGAAAAAAGACTTGGGTAATGACTGTTACTATTATTATGTATTTGAATAATAAAGTGTGCATAGTGTTAAATGTTAAATTCACAATGGCTTGTGGTAAAAGTCCCTGACTGTGAATTCCTTGAAACTCTTATGCTGTGGGTAGAAATTCAGCTAAGGATTTAATATTTGAAAAAGGTTGCTAGTTCAGCTTGAGTGCCCACTTGTGCCTGAAATAATGCATGACTAGGCATCTTACATTGTATTCCACCAGTAAAGATGAAATGTCACAATGTGTTGTAAATCTATGTGATCAGACATGCCACTAAAAGAAAGGTAATGCAAAATGGTTAAATAATTCCCTGATATATCATTTTAGTTATAATAGTTTTACACTGATAATAATTGAATTACACAGATTTTGTATCAATTGTTGTCTTATTTTAAGCAGTTTATGAGAAATATAAGTTAGTATTTATTTGTCAGGTCTTATATAGAAATTGCAAGAGAAGGAAGTCGGGCCAGAAAACATTTTTTTTTTTGTGCAAAGAGCAATGAAATAAAAATGTATGTAAACATTGATTTTGTCCATGAGAGATAAGAAAAATTACAACATTTTAAATCATGACAGATGCAAATTCATCAGAAGCACTGTAAGAGTCCAGCTCGCACACTCAAGCATTCAAATGCAAATGAACACAATACTCAAAAACATTGAGTTAAAGAAACCTTACACATTTGCTCAGAGGTTGTATTTATAGTAGTGGAGACAGGTGAAGTGTGCATGTAGTCACTTATAATACACTTGCTCAGAGGTTGTATTTATAGTAGTGGAGACAGGTGAAGTGTGCATGTAGTCACTTATAATACAAGATAAATTCATGTTTTGATGATAATTTATAGAGCTTACAAAAGATGTAGATGTTACAATATCTAACATATTAGAGGGTCGTGTTGTATACAGTGCTGAAACAGAGGAGACAGCAACTAGCCAGACACAGTCAACATCTTTATTACCTGATAAGGTGGGTGATTAGTATTACTATATCTTGCCTGCACATCCATGCAGTCTGATCCAGGTTGTATATACTTGGTAGTCTAATCTTTAGCTTGACTAGTCAAAGAATAGAGAGAGCTATTGTACTCACCCTGACATCGGCATCACACTTTGGGTAAGTTTTGGTGTGCAAGTTGGTATCTCCAAAAGTACTGAAGAGAATAGGTTAAAACTTCAAACACTTGTTCTCTGTAATTATCTAACATGATGGGCACAGGTCCCATAACTTTGAATTACATTTCACGGAATATGCCATTTTTCATACTGTCAAGCACTGAGAATAGTCAAGCATGCTGTCTTATGGACAGCTCTCTTTGTATTTTGTTATTGAAATCCCTTAAAATTTAAATCGACTGGTCCAAATTCAAGACAAAGCACAGTATACAAATGTATAAGGTTTAAAGTTACACTGAGTGTTGAGTGACAATTTACAGTTCTTGACTGTTTAGATTGCAAGGATGACAAGCCTATTACACAAATACACAAATTTGTATAATGGACATGATCCGCTTTGACCTCGGAACTGTCTATTGTTAATGTAGGGAATTTCTATATTGAATTCTAAAAATAAGCAACTAACAGTATGGAGTTTGGTCAGACTTTATCAACTTGTAACCTTTTCTGACTCTGTACTGGTGTCAAACAGTCAATTAGTTATGGCATTAAAGCTTAAATAAATAGTACATGTCACATGTTTAGTCCAAATAATTTTCTTTGCTACATAAATTGCTGAAAGATTGATTAATTCAGAAATGGTTTCTGAGAGAATCATCTTTATCTTTAATTAAGTTAATAATAAAACAAAATCTAGACCGTGTCTGCAAGGGTATTTTAATAAGTGAGTTAAAGGTATGGCACAGCCGAGTCAGTAGTTAACACTTCAGACTAGTACTATAAGGATTGCTGGCTGCATGGGTTCAAACCCTGTCAGGGTCAATTTGTTGTTTCGGTGAGCAAGAAACTTAACACTCATTGCTTAGTGCTGGATGGTTCCAGGAGCTGATTTGAGAGTGTTCCAATAAGCTTATAGCTTCCAACACAATTGAACTAAAATAAATTTGTATAAACTAAACTAAAGATATGGACATTATGTTTGTTCACATTTCTTTTGCCTCAGTTGACATTGTTGTAGCTTGACATATATATGTGGCAAAAAAAGCAGACGACAAATTGTGTAAGTAAATTTATAACTGTTTATATATGTGGCAAAAAAAGCAGACGACAAATTGTGTAAGTAAATTTATAACTGTTTATGTATGTGGCAAAAAAAGCAGACGACAAATTGTGTAAGTAAATTTATAACTGTTTATGTATGTTTCAAAAAAAGCAGACGACAAATTGTGTAAGTAAATTTATAACTGTTGATGTATGTTTCAAAAAAAGCAGACGACAAATTGTGTAAGTAAATTTATAACTGTTTATGTATGTTTCAAAAAAAGCAGACGACAAATTGTGTAAGTAAATTTAAAACTGTTTATGTATGTTTCAAAAAAAGCAGACGACAAATTGTGTAAGTAAATTTATAACTGTTTATGTATGTTTCAGGATACAACATTATTTAAAGCTAGTTCATTTTCTCGGAATCCATCTGACCGACATTTATCTCTGGAAGACAGGAAGAAGTTGATGCTTGAAACGGCCCGACTTCGATATAAACAGAAACATGGCATGCTCTAGCAATAGTTATATGTATATAGTGGTATTAAATATTTATGTTTTTCACTAAGTCATATACATAACTATTTTAGTGTACAAGACTGCAGATGAAAATTTATTTAGTGTTGTATTTTTCTTTTAAGACATCTTCTCTCCTTGTTCCTTTATTAGATCTTCCTCCCAAAATTTTAAAAACTGATTTAAGAAATAATTTCAGTCGTAAATTTTATTATTATGATTTTGCAAGAGTTATGACAATTTTGAATAATTATCCTGTTAAAATACACCAAAACAACACATATTTTTAATAAGGCAAAATCAGTTGAATTAATTAGTCTTTTTGCCAGAGAAACATGTAAGTGTTATGCTCAAAATTTTATAGCATTTGGTCATTTTTGTTTTTATAGAACTTTTGAATATGTTTAAACTGGATAATGTCAGCATAATCAAGGTATGAATTGTAAAAATGAGCCGTGTCATGACAAAACCAACATAATGGGTTTGCGAAAAGCATGGATCCAGACTAGCCTGTGCATCCGTGCAGTCTGATCAGGATCCATGCTGTTCGCTTACAAACTCTATAACAAGTAGACAAACTGATAGTGAACAGCATGGATCCTGATCAGACTGCGCGGATGCAAACCCATTATGTTGGTTTTGTCATGACGCGGCTCAAATGTAGGCTATTATTCTGAAGTGAAAGGTGTGCTGAAGTTTGTATTTTTCGTTTTCCTTTGTTACATATGAATATTGGGATATTCCTCTTTGTGGCTGAGTGGCTAAGGTCACTGACTTTAATTTACTTGCATCTCTCTGCTTTGGATATAAATCCCTTAGGAGACATAGATTACTTTTTAGGCAAAATCAGTTGAATTAATTAGTCTTTTTGCCAGAGAAACATGTAAGTGTTATGCTCAAGTAAACTATCAATCTAAATATACCAAAGGCCTGTTCCACTAGGGTGCCCGATCGTTCCTGAAATAATGCACAGAGAAGCAACTGAAGTCTTCCTCTGCCAGAAAAAGCTGGAAAATCCCCATTTCATATCAGCAATGTTGGTTTGATTTAAACCCAACCCCTATTCTTCTTGAGGAGATTTTGTAACGATTCATTCCATGAGCTAATATCAATAATTACCCAGGTAGTGCCAATATCAATAATTACACAGGTAGTGCTTTATCTTATAACTTTGGGCATTTCACATTTAAATTTTAATTTATAAGTTTCCTCAGAATGTAATAAGGATGTTATATTATAGTAAAAATGGCCTCAAATATAATTCAGTTATTTTATAGCAAATTATTTTAAGAATTGTATACTTGGTCTGATTATATGTGGATAAATTGTACATGTTGTATGAATGAAAGAAATTTGTTGGAAGTTTGATCTTCGCCTTTGGTATAACTATAGCTGTTAAAGTGACATGCCTGCAGATTTTTGCTAAATAAAATTTTATGAAAATTTAGTGTTTAATCGTCATCAATCTGAATTTCTTTAGAACTGTCTATCATCAATTTTTTTAGGGGTAACAAGAATAAGATTTGAAGTTGTGTCAGCCACCATGTAGAACATGAACAGACTACACAACTGTGCAGGCCAGTATAGCTGTGTTCTAGTGGCAATGGTTCATCTCAACAGGGTAACTAAAGGCCAAATTGTTAGAATATTGTCAAATAAATAAGTACAGTAATTTAAGCCAACAAGATGCATAAAAAATCAAAATAAATTTCATAAATTTGATCAAATATGTAAAAAATAGCCCACAATTTGTTATGAACAGCACAGGAATATTATGACAAAAATACTCCATTTGAGCGGCATCATGACAAAACCAACATAATGGGTTTGCGACTAGCATGGATCCATGCTGGTCGCTAACACACTATGTTGGTTTTGTCGTGACGCGGCTCATTTATATTTTGCATGTGAAACGTTATAAGGCATGTGAACATTTTATACATTTTTAAACTGAAGATTAACATTTCTCGTCTGGAGGTTTGCAGTTTTAAAATGCCTACATATACAGTAGAACTTTGGTACATCAAGGTTGAAGTGGCTTCAGTAAAAACTTTGAGACATTGGGACATAGGCTTGTGTATTGGACTGAATTTTTTGACAAAATTGTGTTAGAGAATGGGTATTTGATAATTGCAAAATGTGTTCTTTTGCAACACAGGTCAACTGTTTTAATTATTTCATAGTAAATTTGCATTTTTTCCAACTGATTTGCAAACAAACAGACAAATATAGTCATTAATGTTATGAGTGAATATTGATACATTTAGTTAATGTAAAGAAATGTTTTGCCATCATATTACATTGTTTAGTTATGTCATGATACAAATAGGGATATACATTGTATATATGTCATACATTGTTTAAATGATGTAATACAAGTCCTAAATGATGTTATAATACACTGAACAAACTTATTAAAATTCCTACCACATATTTTGATCAATGTGAAAATACCTTTAATATACCGTAATACACAAATCTAACAAAAAGATTACCCTTGAGGTTAATGTATTTTATCCAAAATATAGGATATTTAATATAATTACAAGGGTTTGTATGATGAGTTATGTTCAGTGTTTATTATATAAATGATGTAATATTTTATAATATATTGTGTAAATCATACATGTAGGTTTTACATTATATTTACATTATATTCATTAATTGATACATGTCCTTCATTGTATGAATGATTAATGTCAAACCTTGTATAAATAACGTAATTGTATCACATGTCATTATGTCATATTATGTATAAATCATGAGAAATATTTTATATATGAGTCAAATGGTATTTGACATTACGACACAAGACTGTTAAGTGAATTGGTCTATAATGGAATGTCTGTAATACAATGAATAATTATATTGTTAGTATTTAGTATTATACCTGTAAACAAACCACAAAAATAATTATACATGAAAGTTGTAGTAAGTGTGAGATACATAATCCGATATTATATAATTGAGCCGCGTCATGACAAAACCAACATAATGCGATTGCGACCAGCATGGATCCAGACCAGCCTGCGCATCCGCGCAGTCTGATCAGGATCCATGTTGTTCGCTATCAGTTTCTCTACTTGTAATAGAGCTGGTAAGCGAACAGCATGGATCCTGATCAGACTGCGCGGATGTGAGGCTGGTCTGGATCCTTGCTGGTCGCAAACCCGTCATGTTGGTTTTGTCGTGACCCGGCTCACATATATTTATATAGCAGTTCTAAAACAAAAAGTTATTATTCATTATTCATCAGATAAATCGTCATTCTAAATCACTTAAAACTTTATCAACATTTTTTTTTCAAGCAGCACTCTATAAGAATTTGTTTTTATCAATATTTAAAATACTAATGGAAAATGTACCCACTGTAGACCTATCCACTTTAATAACATTTCATTGAATGTATTCTGATGTAAATATGTTCCCTGCATTGCAATGCATTTATGTTTTATCATTTATTACATAAATGATGTACAATAATGTTATACATAGCATGAATTATTTTAATTCAATTATTTTGTACAATATTTCCTTACATTACATAAGGAATGTTAAGTTCTCTTGACTTCTGTATAACTGGTGTAAAAAATTACTACTTTGAATGATGATGATGATCTTTAAGTCATGGAATCAATATAGATATATATTTAAAAGAAATTTTCAATCTGTAACTGCATAATGTGTATAACATTGAATAAAATATGTAAAAATGTATATACAGTATTGCATAAATTACATGTATATTAGAACTCATTTATAACAATGACAAATTATGTACAAATACGTACATCATTGCCTCAATTATGTACAAATGTGTACATCATTGAATTAATTATGTACAAATATGTACACCATTGCATTAATTATGTAGAAAATATGTCTGACATTGCAACATGCATTGCATAAATGGTAAAAGATATGTGCTACATTGTATAAATGGTAAAATATTTATCTTTTACATTGCATATATGATAATAAAATAGTGTCCCTACTCTGTTTAAATAATGTTAAATATATAATGATATACAAGGTTTAAGACCTGATCTTTAAGCATAAATGATGTAAACATAATTATGCATGCTATCTTCTTTTCACTAAAAAAGTGTGAACAGAGTTTAAAATGTAACCATTATTTTTAAAAGTGTGACAAAATCTAGCATGTTATGAAATATTTGAATAAAACTGTTTGTTAACAAGCTAGAGACCATTCTATTTTCTAGTAAAGACTGCTACAAATACCTGCATTGTTTTTCTTCTGAATTATCAGTGGTTATGTTAATATATGTGAGAAATCTGTGAGAAGTTTACAGTTTTAGGTCATGGTGAGTTATTAGCCAGAAAATGTTAGGCTTTGGTCATAACTCTGCAGTTAGAAAAATCAAACTGTCTTTTTAACAATTAGAATAAGTGTGTTTATAATGTAAGCTTTGTTGAAATTTCGGTTTGTGTTTACAATGTTTATAAGTATTCTTTTAAAATGTTTCACAAAATTTGAAGTGTCATGTAGAATGGTTTACTTGTGACAGAAGGTGTTTTTTTTACACAAGCATACCATTGTTTAAATTGTTATTTCAATAAATTGTTTTTGTTAGAAGATACTGAATGCTTTTATGTTTTTTTTTCTATTTCACTTTTATTTTTACTCATTTTTTCTTCTAAATTTGAAGTAGTTGTCAATTATTTATTATGTATATCAGCCTTTGAATAAAATTATGTTACTGCCAGTTGTGACTTAATTGAAAATTATGATTGCTTTCCATTGTTTATGGATGGATTTTTTGATTGTCAGCATGTTGAAATGTATGTTTCTCATTGGAAAACATGTGATGGTCACTTATGCATGTATGTTGGTAGTGTGCAATTTCTTAACTTGTTATGTTTTCATTCTAGAAGTAATTTCTTCATGTTAGTAGTATTTTCCAAAAATGTACACTAAAAATTACAGGATGATGTCAGTTTTTTTTTTAAAAAAGATTTTTTATTAAAATCAGCAGCATTAGTTATTATTTCATTTTCATTTGCTTTAGCTCTATAAAGTTTGTCAGACTTTACAGAAAGTATCTGTTAGTGCTGTGATGCAAGTGATTAATGTTAAAGATTTGAGCTGAGTCATGACAAAACCAACATAATAGGTTTGCAACCAGCATGGATCCAGACCAGCCTGCGCATCCGCGCAGTCTGATCAGGATCCATGCTGTTCGCTATCAGTTTCTCTACTTGTAATAGGGTTTGTAATCGAACAACATTGATCCTGATCAGACTGCGCGGATGCGCAGGCTGGTCTGGATCCATGCTGGTTGCAAACCCATTATGTTGGTTTTTTGTCATATCACGGCTCTTTTTTTTTCAAGCAGCATTTTTAAAGAAAATCCAAATGATACATTTCTATTGTTTTTATCAATATTTGAAATACTAATGGAAAATGTTCCCATTGTAGATACTTTTTAAACATTATTAGGTATTGCATAACATTTAAGTAACTTTTTTTTTGCAATTTGATTTTGAAATGTGTATATGAGACGTTATTCAGAATGTAAATTGTTGTATATATGCAAGGTGCTGCATTACATTTGATGAAACCATGTAATTTGGTCATTAAGTTCTATAAAGTATATTATCATTATCATAAATTTATGCCTGAATGTAACATTTTCATCTTTAGATGGTTACCTTTTTTGTCGGATAAATAAAATCTCAATAACCAAACGGAGTTATTGTTTTGAAAGTGAATTTTAAAATCAAATAGGACAGCCAAAACGAAAACAAAACAACAATAGATTTAATATTCTATAAGGATCTCTTAAATCTATTAATGGAAGGAACCTCATCAGTCTTGGTATAAGTATCCCCCGATGTAAATTTTGATAATACATGTAGTTGCTCCAGACATTTGGAGTAAGAATTGTTTAAATGGTGTAATATATGCCAAACCTAAAATAGAAGTAGTCTTTGAACAACCATGAAACTATATATGAGCCGTGTCATGACAAAGCCAACGTAATGCGTTTGCGACCAGCATGGATCCAGACCAGCCTGCGCATCCGCGCAGTCTGATCAGGATCCATGCTGTTCGCTTACAAACCCTATAACAAGTAGAGAAACTGATAGCGGACAGCATGGATCCTGATCAGACTGCACGGTTGCGCAGGCTGGTCTGGATCCATGCTGGTCGACCAGCAAACCCATTATGTTGGTTTTGTCGTGACACGCTCAGATGTCTTTTTGTATCATCAAACTTTGTACTTAACATTCTTGAAAGGTCTTTTCCAAAGTACATTCACATAGACTACCTTTGCCACATATTTGGCACTAACGCCAAAATATATTCCGGAATCATTATTATAATATATGTAACGTACTGTAGAGAGGCTAAATGCTAAAGACTTTTTAGCTCACCTGGGCACAAAATGCTCATGTTTATATAAACTTATATAGTAGAACATTTAATTAAGTCTTCTTTTGTGAATTAAACAAAGATCTTTGTCAGGAAGGCAAGCATTTCCAAGCAGACATCTACAAATATTATAAACATTATGTAGCTTGTGTAAAAATATACAAATCCATTGTGACGTCATTACTGACTTTATCATTTAAAAATAAAAACTGTTACCTTTTCTATCAATGTACTGTGGTGAGCGATCAAGGGCCATCATGGCCCTCTTGTTTAATCAACTTTATAAGACACTCTTTATTGGATGGCTACATAGTAACTGTGAAATATCTCTAGGCCAAGAATCGATAAAGCGCAATCTCCCACGCAGTGATCTCCCATTATCAGTTCACTCTGCCAAGGGAGGTATTCACTGTTAACCGGTCACAGGTCTTCGGCACTACCTGGGGAAGTAATAACAGTAAAACGTTGTCTCGGCTATGGAGGTATTTAAAATATGCCGTTTTAAAAATTTACATCTGAAATGAATTTGATAACTATCAAAATTCATTGGCATACATTCAGCATGCAATTAACGCAATAAACCGATACTCAAGGGGATCATTCATAGTTCTTATTTCTTTTGCCTTAATTTAATTTAGTTTACTTATTGATAGGCAAAGATCTATATAATGCCTGTACATAGTGATCTGTATACTTGCGACGGATATCGTTTTCCTTGTTGCGTCCCAGTAAGTGAAATACAGGTAGACCATACACCATATACTGTGTTAGTTGAAGTAAAAATCTCAACATTTATGTCACATAAAATGATAAAGTAAAAATGTAATTTTAAAACGACTATGGATAAATTCGGAAATTGTAATGATGACGGTGCGTTTGCCTTTCTGTACGTTCATAGTAGTCGTTGCACCATCTATAATTAATTTACTCTTATTATCATTATTATTTTTATTTAGTAGTAGTAGTAGTAGTGGTGGTATTGACGAAGACCATTATTTAATTTATGAATCATTATATGCGTATTCAGATTAAATGATTTTTAAACGAATTATAAAATGTAAAGTTAATATGTAACTCCACCTCAAACCAGGTCAATGATAAATAAAAAATACCGTGTGCATATCATTAATGCCAAGGCATTCTTCACAACTGAAACAGTGTATGCCTAAATAGCTTCATAAATGTTTGTTTTATTTTTCTTTCTCTTTTCTTTCTTATCTGCGTGCCGAACGTGGAATGGACAATTAAATACAACGGTATACTGCCGAAATATAATAACTGATCGCTTTCTCTTAAATAAGATATTAACTATCTTTACTGAAAGTAACTCCACCGAGGTTCAAATGCCTAAAAACATAAAATTTTAATTCTTGCATAGACCAACTGGGAACTTAAATAACAGGAAGATGTGCAAAAGATAATTAAAAATAATACTCAGAAATGCAAAATTGCATTTTATGCTATGCTTAGCACGATTTGAGCGAAAAACATTGGAACACTTTTTAGTTTTGGGTAATCTTTTACAATTATTATAGATAGTCTGGAAAAACGAGGAGTGAACGAATGATCTGAAACTTTGCACACAAGTTGTTGGTCTAGACCTACATCAAATGGAACAATAATATCGAGAGAAAAATCAGTCCTGAATGTCAAAACATCAGTGGAGTCCCTAAAATAGTAATGTCTTGTAAGCTGCCGGAACTGAAACTGGTAGCCTGCGCTACAAGTATAGAGCCAGACCATTCTGATCATCCTTGTAGTATGACCAGATTTTAACTGTTAGTAGCTTTATTTTTTTATTTTGTTATTGAAATCCTTTAACATTCGAATGGGATGTTTCAAATCCAAAGCATGGCAAATCCATTACATAAATTCAGCAAGTTACATAAATTCAGCAAGTTAACCATTATAATATCGCTTTATTTTCAAAATTAATAAAAGAATGATGAAAAACATTTTAATAATAAAACACTGTACTGCAGTATCTGTTGTTTATATAATTGTTTCTGCTGTAACTAATGATTTTTCTCATTTATTCATAACGAGATCACAGTACAATGTATCTTTACATATAAGTGATTTTATCCTACCAGAATAATTAATGTACATGTATTAACAAAATATGTATACGAGAATCTTGAATGTCATCATTTGGGACATTTTTGATACATTTGTAAATCATATTTTTTTCATCCACTTCATATTAAAATTTTAAAAGTTTTTTTTCCAAACATAAAAAATCAATACATGTAGAAATATTAAAAAAGAGGTTCACCAAAAAAAAGTTTTTTTAAATTTGGGAATAGCTTTCCCAAAAAGGGGGTTATCCCAAACTTTTTGTTTGTCACTTTTAATTTTAGTGAAAAATTTAAATCGGGGGACTCGTCCCAGGTACATGTAAATGATTTTTCCCAAAAATTAAATAAGTCCAAAAACCCGAATTTTTATAGTAAAAAAAAAAATAAGTAAAGGGGTCACAAAATTTTTTTTAAAGGGGAATCTTTTCCCAAAATTATGTGATTTTTTTTTTTCTCTGTTTTTCGGGTTTTTTTAAAAATTTTAAAAGCCCCTGAGCTATTTTTTCTTTTTCCAAAAAAATAAAAAGTACCCTTTTTATCAGATAACTAAATTTTCCCTATTTTTAAAAAAAGGGTTTCAATTTAAAACATGAAATTTATAAATTATTTTGAAAAACTTTTAAAGTTTTACCCTAATGGGGTTCATTTCTGGGCCAAGTATATTTTTGTTTAAAAAATATATAGGCCCTCCCAAAGCTTCTAAGGGGGTAAATACTTATGCCACAAGGCCGACTTTATAATATACATTTTTTTGTTTTGAAAATTTTGGGTTTAAAGATTTTTCCCAAACAAAAAATTTTGAGTCAGTTTCAAATACAAAGGAATACTTTCAGTACAAATTTTCTTTGCAGAGAAATCTTTTGGAAGAAAAAGAGAAGGAATTTTCTGGAAATAACATCCCGTTGACAGAAGTAAGTGTTGCGGTTATGTCTTGCGTATATTGGCAATAATTCATTGCATACGAAAATAGAACAACATGCTTGCATGCCTTTATATAAATATTGGTAATTCAAAAATAATAATCAATAATAATTTAATAATAAATCTCACATTTAAGGGTATCACCTTACATTAGGTTATATTACCTAACTGCTACTGCGTATCTTTCGTACTTTAAATTCGCTTAATAAATCAAAGGGCACATATTCCTTATAAACCAAAGGGATATATTCGCTTATATCAAGCCACACTCCGCCTTAAAATTATACACAATTACGTAACATTGGGCCCATATTTTATCCTTTTTAGAATTGAAAGACGATTATGGACAAACTATTAATGGAATATCTAAAATGGAAAAAGTTCCCAAAGCAAACAAGAAACAATTTTCCCGCCCAGCCACGACCAATACAGGATTGCTGCCAGAAGATCAAAATCATCCAAGTGTTACACATGGTGCTTAAAAAATTTCCCCAAAAGGAGGGGAAATATGCCTCCTGCATCAAAGTTAATGTTCCAAATTGTTTTACGAAGTATCTAAGAAACAATCATTATTGAAGTTTAATCAACTCGTATACCGTATACATACAAATGTTTTGTTGAATTAATAAAGCTGATATTAATTTTGACCTTTGCGGTTTACAGAATGACCCATTAAATGTCCCGCAAGATTATTCTTTTTAGCCTCTTTCTGAGATTTGAAATTTTCTATAGTCTCATTTAACAAAGAACTTTTAAAACCCTTTGGGCCCATCTGTTCATTATGTTAGGATATGTACATTGCTACATCTTTAAATAAAAAACCGATTTGTTTAACTTTTTTTTCAAAATAATTGAATGTCGTACGAGCTTCCACTTAAGTGGTGTACTTTTGTCTTTTGGTATTTTATGAAAGGAAAGTGTCAAGAAAGCGAATCCATTACAAACATGTATATTTAAAGAATTTTTTATTTTAGATCACGTGATTTCAAAGCAGAAAATTTTGGACCTTATTTTTCAACTCACCTTTAATTCACACACTTTTGTTAATGTTGAAGATTCATACAAGAAATGGAGACTTGGCTTTTATAATACTGCTCCGGCTGGTTTGGGTAAAGGTAACAAGTAATCTGACGCTTTATTCAAAGAAAAAAAACCTTCTTAAAACACATAACAATGATCAAACATATTGAGCCTGAATCTATAGCAAACCCGACCGACAGTGGTTTACGATGGAAAGACCTTGAATCCAATTTTTTCTGGAATGGCAGGAACGAAACTTGTCTTATATCAGAATACACTCGCCATGATCTTCA